GCTCACGCGCCTCGTTTTCCCTGGATAATCAACCCCAGCGATAAACAAGTTCAGGGCGCCAGGGGGAGGAGGAGGAGAAAGAGATAGAGAGACAGAGAGAGAGAGAGACAGAGAGGCCAGGAAGGAGAAAGAGATAGAGAGACAGAGAGAGAGAGAGAAAGAGAGACAGAGAAATAAAGAAAGATAGACAGAAAGAACTACAAAGAGACAGAAGGACATTGGTTTCGCTTGAGACATCCTGGAACAACGTGTTCGCTTCGCTTGATGCTGTTATCTCAACATAAGAAGGAAGTAACTTCGATGGCGAACTTTTCCCGTGATAATGAAGTTCGGCCTCCGCGCCCCCGCGCCCCCGACCAAACTCTTATTGGTCGACGATAAAAAACTCTAACGACTTAAGGGGGGGGGGGGTACTTTATTCTCATCGGCATGCGGTTAATGCGAAAACGCCGCCGCCCACTCCAGCGCCCGACCTCTCGCGCGGCGCCAGGCTCGACGTCCGCCTCCTGCGCCGCGCGCTCCGCGCCCCTTGTTGGGCGGCCCCCGGGGCCCGCGCGTTAAAGCGCCTTTTTCCGCAGCGGGGGGGGCCGGAATATCAAGGCGGTTTCACGTGGCCGAAGCGAAGGGGGGCCGGAGAATTACGGCGCTTTTTGAATGGCCATTTCGGGCAAGAAGTTGGAAACTGACCGCAATCGCAGCCATAACACACATATATATATATATGTATATGTGTGTAACAAATATGTATACAACTATAGTGCGTGTGCATGGCGTATATATGAATAAATATGGCGCCTGCGCCACTGCATCACGCGCGCGATCATGGTGTTCAACGCGTTGATCCTAATTGTCGTCGACGTGGCAGACCGCTGTCTAGCTGCAGCCTCACAGTGTCCACCAGCTCAACTACAGTGCTCAACGCTCCCAGACGGGGGCCGGAATATTAAGGCGCCCCCCGTGGACGGGGGGGCCGGAGTATTAGCGCGCCGAAGCAGGGGGGGGCGGCATTTTCAGGGGGGGGGGAAAGGGGGGGGCGTTTAATAAGGGATGCGGAGTAGGCCCCGGGCGTCGCGCCCGAGCAAGTCGCCGGCCCAGACCGAGGCATATCGAAATGCGACGGCCAGCAGCGGCAGGAGGCGCACGGCGCCGACCGTCAACGAGCTCCTGTCGCACCGAGACCCAGAGCGGCACGCGACTCCTGTAGTGCTTCCCCGCGTAGTCATAGGTGGCCCTGAGCGCGCGCGCCGCTGGCCCGTTGAGCGGCACGGCGCGCGCGGAACGGTCGACCAGCTGCTCCACCTCCCGGCCTGCAGATCGCCTCCGACGAAATGGCGCCTGCGCCCCGCGGCTCAAGCGCCAGCGCTCGCCGCGCGCCGACCTGGCCCTGAGCTCGACGCCATCCAGCTCCAGCCAGCCCGAGCGCCTCCGCCGCGACCCAGCCTTCCTCCGCCGCGCGCAGGGGCGGCCCGACGCCCGCCGTCACCTCGGCCGTCTGCCTCCCGGCTACCCGCGAAGCGCCGGCGCGAGAAGACACGGAGATCTCGTTGTCCACGCCCATCTCGGGGGGGGGCCCGGCGACCTGCTGGCTCGCTTTCGATGCCTCCCGCGCCACCAGGGCGAAGCAGTTCGCGACGCGCCCAGTGCCCCCGCCGCGCGACTCGCGAGAAGCCCGCGGGCAGCGCCGTCGGGCGAGTGCGGGGCCGCGCCCCCGCGGCCGCGGGAGCGGCGCGACTGGGGGCGCGCCCCAGACCGCGGCGCCGCGAAGTCTGGCACCCTGAACTGGCGGAGGCAAATAGCGTTGCCCTGGCTGGAGATGCGCAGCAAGACACCTGGGCCAGCCCAGACCACCGCGGCCGCTGCAGAGGCGAAGCGGGCGGAGGTCGGGCGCTCGGGCGACTGTCTCGCAGCCCCCGCGCCCGTAATTAATCTCAATCGGCCCGATTCATTTTCGTCTTCGCGACGCGCGCGCCCACTTCAGGGTCGCGACGCGCGCGCAGCTCGACCATGTCTTGCTCTGCTTGCGCCGGGGTCTCTCATCCCAGTTGACCTCGGCGGCATCTGGGCATGCCGCGTCGGCGCCAAGCGCGCGGGGGCGACGGCCATCGTCGCGGCCCACTTCCGGCGGCGCCTCGGGCAGATCGGCGCAGCCGCCGGCTCGCCTGCTCGCGGTCGCACGGCGCGACCAACCCAGGTGCCGAACCTCGAGGGCAACCTCTAGGCTGCGGGCGTCGCCCAGCGGTTGATCGCCAGCGACTGCCCACGGCGGAAGACTGGGCTTCCGAAGGACGAGCACCCGAACAAAATTCGCCGTTCCCATGCGCGTCGTTCAGGGCGGCTACGCAGGTGTTCGCCAGGCGGCCCACAGCGGTCGCGCGACCGACTCTCTGGGCGACATGGCAGGGGGGGGCCCCGCGCGCCCCGAGCTGGGCGCAGCGGCGCTAGACCTCGTCGGAGGAGCACGCACCCTCCGCCCGCCCCCCCCCCCTCAGGATTACCGAGCCCCTGCCCGCCGGCTCGGCCGCGCACTTGATCGGCTCAGGGGCGGGATGACGATCGCGCCGCCCGCGCGGCGCGTCCTGCCCAGGAAATCATCCTGAGAGTCGAAGTCCTTGGCGGTATCATTATTCCTCTTCTTCTTCTTCTTCTTATTCTTCTTCTTATAATTATACTATGATTCTTCTTCTTCTTCTGGAGATTATGCACTATGAGCTGCGTGAATGAGCTGCGTGCGCCTGGCCAGCGCCTCCATGCTGGCCAAGGTGGCGAAGTCCACTTGGTCGCAAGTCCACGTCGGCTCCAAAATCTCTGACGACATCTCATGGGTCACCACCATGTGCTCGTCATCGTTCAACTTGTTTTCATGTTTCCAGGTCGTGCGCCGCTGCGCTGGATCCCCGCTCTGTTTTGAGCTTTTTGTTGCCACATGTAGCGCGCGCCACGCGGGGGTGAGCCAACATCCAAACATCGAAATTCATCTTTTCCGCGCTCCGAACCACACTCCACAGGTCCTGAAACGACATCCCGCAAAATCGCGCAAAATCGAAAACGTCCGCGCATCCTCGGCTTGCGCAGGCGGTACGTCGGTCCCGGCGAATGCCGCCGCAGCCTGCGGCATCCTGCCGTCGAAGGCCGACATGGCGTCGGCACCGCTCTGGCCAACGCCCATGCGAAACATCACTGCCGCCACCCCCATGCGACCCAGGTCGTACAGCCCGTAACCACCCACCGCGCAGAAGAGCTCAGACGGCGAGTCCAGCCACTCTAGCAGCGCCACGACGCCCCCTCTCCAACTCATCTGACGACGCCACGCAGCGCCAGTCCGACTGACGCCGAGGCGCGAGCGCAGGGAGGGCACCGACGGCGGCGGGAGGGGCAGAGGGGACACGACCTGCTCAACCCTAGGTTCATGCTCCTCACTTTCCGCCAGCCCCAGCGCCCCCCGCGCTTCCAAGGCCATGGCCCTGCTGTCCCTGATCCACGGCTCCAGCTCGGGCCCGCGAGGTCGCTCGTCAAACCAATCGCCCACGATGGGCACCCAGTCTTTCTGGCATGCCGCCGCGCGGACTTCCCTCCTGTCGATGACTTCCTCATGCATGTCTAAGTCGGGCGCCAAGATGATACAAAACGCCCCCACAAGAGGAAACAGTACCAGCCATTCATGCCAAGGTTCCCCCTCCACGCCGTAGTCGACGAAGATCACGCCCCTGGGCTGCAGGTTGTGGGACTCGCCGCACGGCTCGACTTTCCCGTTTCGGAGCCACTGCTGCTCTTCAAGACGACGTCCGTCACTTTAGGTACCGGCCGACCGATACTCCACGCGAGAAGCCTGAAGGCCTCCAGGCACGTGCAGAGCGACGCCTGCACCGCGAGGACGGCGAGCACGCCCAACACGAAACCCACAACCGCAGCGAAGACGGATGCGCCGACCGGCACCGGCGCCCCCCAGACGTCGGTCTGCGAGATGCAGGCGTTGGCAGTTGTCGAGATGGCCAGGGCGCCGGGAAAGAACTGCAAAGCGCGGCCAGGTAGGCCCCAGGTGTGGGCGCTGGAGCGATTAGGGGAGTGCTCCAGCCGAAATCGCCCTGTCGCCGCCACGAAAACAATCGTTTGAGCCGCGAGTTGCGGTCAGGCATGAAGTTTATGCTCTGTCCCCCTGTACTGTTTACTCTCACCAGGGCTGCTACGGGAGGAGGAGGACGACGACGACGACTGGGAGGGACGACGACGACGACGACGACGACGACGACGACGACGACGACGACGACGACGACGACGACGACGACGACGACGGCGACGGCGGCGGCGGCGACGGCGGCGGCGGCGACGACTGCGACGACGACGACGACGCCAAAGACGACGACGATAACGACCACGACATTGACGACATTTTTGGGAAGGCTTCTGGGCCTCTGTGGCTTCGGGTTGCCACAGCTTGACGCAGGTCGAGAAAGTCGGCCAGAAGTCCATATGGGGATCCGCGCTGATACCGCTCCTTTATTGCGGAGATGGGCGCCCCGGGCCGAACAACTAGAGTGGCGGCCGAGCCTCTACTCTGAAGGTAGTTGGCCCTCCGAGGAACCCAGGCGGATCAAACAACCTCCACTTCGAAGGCCGAACCTCCATTCTGTCTGAAGGGGGAAAAATTCCAGGGGATGAAAAAGGCATCCAGGATAAAAGTCGAACCTCCACTTTGAATGTCTTCGATCCTCTGGGAAATTTCTCCTCCCCCGATCGGCGATCGTCGATCCTTCTCGATCGTCGATCGTCGACCCTCCTCGATCCTCGATGATCCTCCTCCACCTCTCTTTCTGCCCCTTTGCTCAGGACTTCTCTTGCCCCTCTCCTCCTCCTCCTCCTCCTCCTCCTCCTCTCTCTCCTCCTCCTCCTCCTCCTCCTCCTCCTCCTCCTCTTCCTCCTCCTCCTCCTCCTCCTCCTCCTCCTCCTCCTCCTCCTCCCTGAGGAATGGCAGCACCATTCCCCCCCCCTTGGTGCCGCGCGGCCTCTGGTGGGAGCGCAGCGTCGCTCGCCTTCGCAGGGTGCTGACTGCAGTAGTACGTGGACGCGATCACGGCGATGGGCACCAGGGCGTACACCTGAGAGGAGGTGCCGAGGCGGAGGGGAAATAGCATGAAGAAACGGGTCCTGGAGGAAGGGGGTCCTGGAAAGTGTCACCGTTCTTGGGCCTCTGGGGCCCTCGGGCACCAGGATGGTCAAAGAAACGAGTCCAGATGAACAACTGGTCCTGTGCAAAGCCCTGGGGCCCGGGACCCGCGTCCCTCGGGCCCCCTTCCGCCACGGCGAAAGAGGGCGGAGGGGCCCAAGCTGCCGGGCCAGCCGGCGCAGAACGACTGCTCTTGATTCGAGGACGTCGTCGTCTCCTCATAAGATCGTAAACTACGTATGGAGGTATATTCCGTAACCGTGTTGACTCACGTCCGTAGTGTTTTGGCACAGGACCTGACCTTACTGGCGTGGGGGAAGCCGCGGCCCTCCAAAGTTTTTTACACCCCGCTGCCTGGTCAGACGAGGTGTTTCGGCATTATTGTGAGCTTCTGGTGGAGCATCCCTTTCCTTCGGTGAGTCCTTCGCCGATGGCAGATGCTCCTGTTGACACGTGGCGCCAGGATGCGCCGCGGATGAGACAGCAGAAGTCATGGGGACCGCAGTATCCGAGTCTCTGTTCAGACACCCTTCGCCCTCGCGAGCGCGTCTTCCTGGCACACCGCCCTCGCTTCCTCTCCCTTCGCTAGGGAAGAAAAAATCATGTGGGCGTGCACCTTCTGTCCACGCAATAAGAACAGCCTGCAGTCGTCAATATGCAAGCACTGTGGGAAGGATCGTGTCGGCCCTGGGTTTCTGCCGCTGGCGCCGCCTCAAGGTGTGCGGAGTTATCCGCATCATGGCGCTGGTCACGCTCATGGTTATGCTCACGGGGGTGGTGGCTACGGCGTAATCACCTCTCGCAGCGTCGTGTCCACGGAAGGCCCAGGTGCAGGTACAGCAGGCGCGTCCACCGAGGAGCTCGAGCGCCTGATATCCATGCTCCGAAAGTTCAGGGACGTCACTGATGCAGATTGGTTTCAGGCCGTCCTTGACAAGAAGAAGGCAGCGTCTCAAGAGTTTCGTCTTCACCAACACATCACGACAAGTTCCAACAGTTTCCGTTCAGTCGAGGCGAAGCTGGCCAAAGCCGTCACGAAGTACGAGGGCATATCCCTCCGTCTCGCCGAGCAGCAGCGTTCAGTGACATCATTGTCTGACGAGTTGGCATCACTAAAGCAGCTCCACAAATCGTGGGTTGGCCAGCTACACGCAGCAGTCGCAGCTCCCCGTTGCCTCGCCCGCTGCCCAAAAAAAGTACGAATGGTCCGTGCGTGATCTACTCGCGGGAAAGGTTGCCGAGATCCCAATTGTGGTCGGCGACCTCTTACTATAGCAGATGACGGCACCAACCTGGAGCTTCCGGCCGAGGACTGACAGCAGGCGGAAGCACTGGTGGAATCTCTCAACGAAGGTCTCAAGGAGGCCACAAACTCTTCGTTCAAGCAAGCTGTGGAGCAGGCGGGCAAGGCAAAAGCTGACCATGCCGCCCTGCTCGAACGACTCACAGCGAAGCGTAGGCAAATCCACCCCCCTGCCGACTGCGCAGCGTCAACTGCTTTCGGAGATGGCGCAGGGCCTACTGCCGCAACTCACGCTGCCCCCGAACCAGGCCAGCAAGCCGCCGCGAACGCAGCGTCAGCTGGCCCGCCAGCCGCCGAGCCAGGCTCGTCGGCACCGTACCAGTGGAACAAGCAGCCGAGGATTTGCGGAGCAATGCCTCCCGCATCGCCAACAGGGGGGGGGGGCCCCACCAACAGAATATACAACGAAGGAGGAGGCCCCTCAAAGCTATTTCGCATACTTCCGCAGTCAGTTTCTTTTGGAGGGCTTTGAACCTGGTGAAGACCAAAGCTCTTGCCAGCACTAGAACCTTTCCCCATCTGGATTGTTTCCCTGGTCTCGCGGGATCTCCAGGGGCCGACCTGGCGACCTCGGCCATGGTGGGCTCGCCTGCTAGGGAGGACCTGTCTGTGTTTTTTTGTTCGGCGAATGTTTCAGGCTGGGGGTCGGCCCAGAGCTGGCTGAAGCCGACTAAGGCTCACGTGGTGCGCCTTCCAGAGCACCGCCGTAAGAGTCAGGAAGATTTAGTCCAGGCCTCGGCATGGGCTCTCCGACAAGGGTGGAAGTCTCTGTGGGTCCCCGCTCCAGGAGAATCCTCGGGCACTCGCGGCGGCACGGCCATCTTCGCTCGCGGCTTTCTGGGACTACATCCTGTCGGTCGGTCTTCTCTCTTTCAAGGGCGCGCGGTAGGAGGCGTGGTTCAGCTTGCAGGAGGCATTAGCATAGCGGTGGCCAGCGATTATCTACTTCATGGTGTTGGTTCTGGTGATCCAAACATACTGGTTATGAAAGAAGTCGGGAAATTCGTTGCGTCTTCTGGATTACCGCGGCTCGTGGGTGGCGATTTCGATCTGGAGCCCGACACTTTCCTCCAGTCCTCTTTCCTGGACGAGGTCAAGGGCGAGTTGCTGCCACCACCTCGCCCCACCTGCTCGACCACTAGAGGCATGAGAATGAATGGCTATTTGTTAGCCAGCCGCGGCCTTAGCCAAGCAGCCTGATCGGTCACACTCGATGGGAAGGCCGACCTCACGCCCCACACTACTGTGGAGCTCGCCCTTTTTCCGAGGCTCGCTTCTCTCAAGGCCATGGCTTTTCGAAAGCCTCCGCGGATCGGCCTCGATCGAATCTGAAAAAAGTGCTGTTCAGACTCTGGGGCGCCCCCAGACTCTGGGGGTTGGGGGTTGCTCCGACTTTGTCTCTCGTTGTCCGACTGTGTCTCCTCGCTCATACCCCCTGCCTCCTTCTCCTGGTCCTCCTCCCTGTTTCTCTTCCTACTCCCTCTTCGCCTGCTTTTCCCAGTCCTTTTCTTCATATTCCTCATGTTCCTCCTCCTCCTCCTCCTCCTCAACCTCCTCCTCATCCTCCTCGCCCCCAGTGCGCCCAGGAGGCTTTCAAGATGGCCCCATGACGACCCAGGAGGCCCCAAAGACGGCCCCAAGAGGCCTCTAAGACGCCCAAGATGGCCTCCAAGACGGCCCTGAAGCGCCTCAAGAGGACCCCACATCGGTTCAGAGAGGCCCCCAAGACGGCTTCCGACGGCGTCAGACCCGTCAGACGGGCTAGGAACGATTTAAGACTGCCAAGGAGAGGCCCCCAAGACGCCCCCACGGCCCCCAAGAGGCCCGTAGGCGTCTTGGATCCGCCGCCCCCTGTGCTTGCCACAGGGTTGGACGGCGTGCCAGACATTTTGCTGAGATTCTGATTTTCAAACCCTTCCCAGTGGCCTTCGGCCCAGACCGCCTGCCCCTCGGAAGGACCAGAAGGTGTGGCCCACATCGCCACCAAGACGGCCCAAACGGCCCAATATGGTCACCAAGATGCCTCCAAGGCGGCTAGGATCGCTCCAAGAGAGCCCAAGACGGCTCCAATATGTCTCCAAGACGGCCCAAGATGCACCCGAGGCGTCCAAGATGGCCCCAAGATGGCCCAGGACGGCCCCAAAGGCCCCCAAGAGGCTTTTAATGCAGTCCAAGAAGCCTCCAAAGGGATCTGCAGGAAGGCCCGAAGAGGCCAAGACAGCTGATTTCCCGTGGGCTCTTGATGGATTTTGACGTTTTCGGCCTGCCGACGGCCCAATGCCGCCGAAGAGACCCCCAAGATGGCCCCAAGAGCGCCCAAGAGGCCTCCAAGACGGCCCCATGACGGCCTCCAGACGGTCCAAGAGGCCCCCAAGGCGCCTCCAAGACGGCCCACGAGAATTCCAAGGCGCCCACGATGGCCTTCAAGACGGCTCCAAAACGTCCAAGATGGCAACGATACGATTCGACATAGCCCCAGGATGTCCCAAGACAGCCACAGAGGGCCCCAAGGGCCCCAAGGGGATCCAAGGGGCCTCCTAGACAGTCTAGGAAGTCTTCAAGAGGACCTCCAGGAGAGCCCGAAATGCCCAAATGGTTGTATTTATTCCCTTCAATTGTTGAATAATTTGGGCGCGTTTTCTTTTTCGGCTGTCCGACGGCCCAAGATGTCCACAAGATGGTCCCAAGACGGCCCAAGCTGACTTCAAGATGGCCCCAAAAGGGCCCCAAAGGGCGAGGAAACAGTCCAAGAGGAAGAGCAAGAGGAAAGGACGGAATCAGAGGCCCGAAGCGGCTCCGAGAAGCCTGCAGCTCAGCGCGGGCTCGTCTGCGGACGCCCTTGCCCCCCCCAGGAAAAACATATCACCCCGAGGCCCGGTGATGTTTTGTGGGGCCGCCATCTCAAAGCCCCACGGCCAGCTTTTGGGTCGAGGAGGAGGAGGGGCAGGAGGACGAGGAGGTGATCAACAGGAACCAGAGGAGCAGGAGCAGCAGGAGGACGAGGAGTTTGAGCAAGGGGTCAAGGACGGAATGATAGGCCAGAAGCGGCTCCGAGACCAGACCGCGCTGAGCTGCAGGGTTTTCGGAGCCGCTTAAGGCCTCTCATTTCGTCCTTGTCCCCCTGCTCAACCTCCTCGTCCTCCTGCTCCTGATTCTCCTGGTTTTGCTCCTCTTCTTCCTCGACCCAAGAGCCGGCCGTGGGGCCTTGAAAGGGCGGGCCGAAAAAATGTCACCGGGGGCCGAGCTGCAGGCTTCTCGGAGCCGATGCGGCCAAAAAGAGGCTGCCCTGCAGGCTGTCTCGGAGCCGCTGCGCCAAAAGAAGGACACCTTGTCGGTTTAACTACTAGGTCGCTTTGTCGGCTGATTTCGGGCGCGTCGTCATCGTGGTCGTCGTTGTCATCGTCGTCGTCGTGGTCGTCGTCGTCACCACCATCGTCGTGGTCGTCGTCGTCGTCGTCGTCGTCGTCGTCGTCGTCGTCATCGTCGTCGTCGTTGTCGTTGTCGTCGCCGTCCATAAGATGGCCCCGAGAGGGCCCTAAGAGGGCCCCAAGAGAGCCCCAAGAGGGCTCCGAGAGGGCCCCAAGAGGGCCCCAGGAGTTGTGCAACAACCCAGCGGCCGCTGGTACATAACTCCTGGGGCCCCCTTGGGGCCCTCTGAGGGCCCTCTTGGAGCCCTCCTCGGACCCCTGGTTGGCCCATGAGTGTGCTCCAAGAGGGCCCTAAGAGGGCCCCAAGAGGGCCCCAAAAGGGCCCCAAGAGGGCCCCAAGAGGGCGCCAAGAGGGCCCCAAGAAGGCCCCAGGAATTATGTACCAATCCAGCGGCCGCTGGTACATAACTCCTGAACCCTCTTGGGACCCTCTGAGGGCCCTCTCGGAGCCCTCTCGGACCCCTGGTTGGCCCTGTAGGGCCCCAAGAGGGCCCCAAGAGGGCCCCAAGAGGGCCCCAAAAGGGCCCCAAGAGGGCGCCAAGAGGGCGCCAAGAG